ATTATCACCTGAAGTTCGTAGTTTGCATCAGGGTTCATTCTTGGCGTTGTATATCCTGTGACTTTGGACAAATGTATAAAACATGTATCCATCATTGTAAGGGAAGACATAAAATGTAAATACACCTGACAACTGAGCTTCAAAATACGTGAAGTAAAAACCAACAGAACTGAAAGGAAAAATAAACAAATCTGCAATTATATTTAGAGATGTCACTACTCCTCTCTTAGTACTCTACATACTCTAGCGGGTAGAAAATCAGCAAGGATATAGGAGAACTGCACAACGCCAGCAGCCGGGTGGGTCTCTTTGACGCACATGGAGCACTGCACCCAATAACAGCAGGGTACGCCTTCTTTTCAAGCATACAGGGAACACTCAGCAAGATAAACCGCACCCTGGGTCATAAAGCAAATAGTAACAAACCTAAAAGAATTGAAATCCTAAAGTTTGTTCTCTGACCATTATAAAATTAGATTAGAAATGGTAATCGAAAGGTGACAAGAACATAGGGGTGCATATATTCTTTCTGATTGGTGTTTTGGGATTCTTAGGACATATTCCCAGAAGTAAGATCGAGCCAAACAGCAGTTCCGTTTTTAGTTTCTTAAGGAAACTCCATACTGTTTTCCACAGTGGCTGCACCAGTCTGCATTCCCACCAATAGTGCATGAGAGCAGTTCCCTTTTCTTCACATCCTCTCCAGTAACTTACTGTTTGTTGATTTATTGATGGTAGCCATTCAGGCAGGTGTGAGGTGATACCTCATTATAGTTTTAATTTGCATCAGTCTGATGATTAGTGACGATGCCCACTTTTTTCATGTCTGTTGGCCATTTGTATGTTCTCTTTGGAGAAGTGGCTGTTCAAATCCTTGCCCATTAAAAATATATATATATTTATTTATTTAATTTATAGGCAGAGGAGAAAGAGAGGGACAGAAACATCAATGTGTGGTTGCCTCATGAGCCCCCTGCTGAGGACCTGGCCTGCAACTCAGACATGTGCCTTGACTGGGAATCCAACCAACGACCCTTTGGTTCTCAGGCGGGCACTCAGTCCTCTGAGCGGCACCAGCCAGGCCCATTGTTAAGGTTTGTTACAGCAGCACAATGAGGATACATAGCTGGGAAAAGACACGGATGGATCTGGAAGAATCCATGTGCAGGCTTCCTTACGCTCTCTCTCCCATGGGAGGGTTCATAGATTGAAGACTCAGTGTTTGTTAAGATGTCAGTTCTCCTCAAATTAATCCGTAGATTCATCACAACCCTAATGAGAATTTCAGCAGACTTTACATAGAACTTACCAAGTTGGTTCTCAAAATATATGTAGAAATGTTGAGGATTAGAATAAAACAACTTGAAGAACTTAACCACCTGATATTGACTTACTATCAAGCTATAGTGATTAAGACAGTATGCTATTGTTATAAAGATAGACCAGTAGATCAGTGTAATATAGTAAATACAGTGAGTTCATTTTTGACAAAAATGTGAAAGCTATTTAGTGCTAGAAAGTTTTTAAATTAATGCAGGAACAAGTGTAATCTTTTTGGAAAAAGAGATACAGATTACAGACCTAAATATGAAAATGAAAAAACATTGAAGAGTATCTTCATGTCCTTGGGATTGGTAACCATTAAAGAAAAAAACTGATAAATTGGACTTAATCAAAATGAAAAACTCATCAAAAGACACCATTAAAAATATGAAGAGAGCTACAGAATAGGAGAAACCATTTGGCCTACATATGTCTGACAAAAGACTTACATCTAGTCTACACAGAAAATGAGCACCTCGGTTCCCCTAACCCTTAAACTAGAGTGACATTGAGTGCAGGGGTCCTCAAACACGGGTAACCAAGCGTTCACAGGAAGTAGGATAGAGTGGTCTGTGTATATGCTAAGCAGGACTCTTGGTTGCAAATGACCCAGCTTGGTCCTACTTAAACCAGGAAAGACAAATACATGTCTCAGCAACATAATTCATGAGTGGGCTGGTGTGTCAGGCTCAGTGACAGCCAAGTAGTTAAACTGTGCCTGCAGGAATCTGCCTCCTACTCTGTTTTCCTCTGGAAGGGCTTAACTTTCAGACGGATCTTGGTCACCAAGGCCACATGCAGCTTCCTGGTATTTTGTGCTCCAAGAACTTGAATTTCTCTGGTAGTACTTATCTTGTCCTTGCTGTACATCTAGAGCAGTGATTTTCAACCTTTTTCATCTCATGGCACACACAAACTACTAAAATTCTGCAGCACACCAAGAAATACATTTTTTGCCAACCTGAACCACACACACACACACAAAAACATGGTGCAATTTGATTCATTCACACCAGCTATTACTGTGTTGGCTAGAGTCATTTTATTTGACAGTCTAAAGGAAGAAAGGTCAGTGCTCCTGACTAAATAGTGAAGTATTGCATGTATTTAAAAATCTCATAGTCCTCACCCATGTGGCTCAGTTGGTTGGACCCATAGACCAAGAGGTCACCGGTTTGATTCCCAGTCAGGGCACATGCCTGGGTTGTAGATTCGGTCCCCAGTCGGGGCATATACAGGAAAGCAACCAGTCAGTGTTTCTCACATTGATGTTTCTCTCCCTCTCTTTCTCCGTCCCTTCCCCTCTCTCTAAAAAGAAGTAAATAAAATCTTTAGAAAATAAAAATTCTTGCAGCACGCTGGTTGAAAATTGCTGACCTCTAGAGTAAGCCAGCCCTGTGCGCATCAGCATGTTCCAGTTCTGCTGCTTCTGCAGGGCCCCGCTCAACACCGCCTCCACCGGGAGCCCTGTCAGAGACTCTTGGCCTGCGTTAGTGTTTCTTCTTTGCTTTTGGCTGTTACTTTGTCCCCCTAGCTTACCTTCACTTTAAGTTCCTTCAGCTCTCAGTGGCCTTGTAGAACCTGGTAGAGTGCTGGGCACACAGAGGCTTAATAAATAATGGACAGTGTTGTATATTTGATTTTCCTTTTTTTTTTTTTTTTTTTAAGAATTGTCTAAGGCAGTCCTTTATGTCCAGCAGTACCAGATATTTGTAAGCTGGCTCTTACTAAGAATATCATATTCATGCCCTGGCTGGTGTGACTCAGTGGATTGAGCACCGGCCTGCAAACCAAAGGGCTGCTGGTTCAATTCCCAGTCAGGGTATGTGCCTGGGTACAGGCCAGGTCCCCAGTCGGGGGCGAGCTAGAGGCAACCACATATTGATGTTTCTCTCCCTTTCTCCCTCCCTTCCCCTCTATAAATAAATAAAATCTTTTAAAAAAAGAATACCATATTTGTATCCACTGAGTTACTTAAAAGTCACTTAGCGCTTCCCAATCACTCTCTGATGAAGCTTCCTCACCTGTTACGTGGCACATTCACGCCTAGTAGTGTTCCCATGGCATTCATGGCTGCATGCATGTATATCTTTTCTTTAAATATCCATTTTGACTAGAAGAAAAATACCCATTCTTTCTTTAAAAAATCCAGTTCAGTGACCATGTATTGGCGCTCATCCAGTATAGCAGTGGTTCTCTGGAGTTTCTGATTCAGTAGGTGTGGGATGAGCTGACAATTTTTCATTTTTAATTACTCAGGGGATGCTAATGTCGGCAGTCAGGGACTCACATATTAAGGACCGATTTGCTAGTAGATTTAACCTCATTGCGCATCAGAATCACCTAAAGAGTCTCCCCACCACTCCTTTTTTAGAACCAGCCTTTGCTAAATGAAGTAAAAGCATTTGGAATCCCTGCTCAAGCTTGGTATTAGCAGCGTTTTAAATATAAATGGGGGTAGAATTGGCCAGCTATGTGGTGTGGTGGTTCTAGTTCCCAAAAATAGGTATTCCTAAATCTGGTGATAATTCACTCTTTGTCCTTAGCCAGTTCTCCTCATTTTTCAAGCCTTGGTGTCCTCATCTTTAACATGACATTAATTAAAAACACCTTTCTCATCATTTCACAATCTCCAGTGCAAGGATCATCAATGGATGGTAAATCTCTATGTAGGGGGCGAGTTTCACGAAAGTTAATTTCCCACAGATAACATGTGAGTTGTAACTATACAATGAAGAAACAAAACCACTCTGCCTGGGTTCTCACATTCAGCAACATGCATGAGGGGAAGATGGACATCTTGTCTCTGGATGATACCACGACAAGGACAGGGCAGCACTTCCGAGAGCAGTCCGACTGAGAACACGTAACTGAGGTTCATCATAGGGAAACGGCAGACAAACCCAACACAAAGAGCATTCTCTTTTTTTAAGGACCTGTATTCTTACATATGAATGTCATAAAAGATAAACGTGGAGGAACTGGTCCAGATTAAACATACGTGATAGCGGAAAACAGTATGTGATGCTAGGCGGGGTCCTGTACTGAAGGGAGGAGAGTGCAGTAAGGAGAGTATTGGGTCAGGTGACAAATTAGAATATGGATGGTACAACAGATTAAATAAAGAGTATTGTATGAATTTTTAATTTCCTGAGGTCGATAACAGTACTGTGGTCATGTGAGGTTACCTGTTAGGGAACACATTGAAATGCTTAGAGTTAAAAGTATATGATGCGTGTAACTGAATCTCGGATGGATTAGGAAAGCACATATGACAGAGTAAAGAATAAAGCAAACGGAGGAAAGACACAGGTGTTCTTTGTACTAATCAAGCAACTTTTTGGAAAATTTATTCCAAAATAAAAACTTTCAAAGAACCACTTATGCTCCTTATTTCAGAAGAGTTGTAAAGAGAAAAGCGTCTGTGGAGAAATGTTTTCAGAGAGCAGCGTGCTGTGCAGACGAGGGCGGGCTGCCGGGTGGCGCCCTGCCATTCTGCGGGTGTCCTCCACAGGTCGCTGGCTCCTGAGGGCCTGCAGGCGGCGGGCAGTGCCAGCCTCCCTGCCAGGGGACGGCTTCTCGCCTGTGTGTGCAGGGCCCCATGAACTTGTCACTCGCCCGACGATAGTCGATTGTATATTCTAGCTTAACCTCTGAAAAATATATTTGTCTTTCAGCCCAAAATGGAGTTAATCCTGACTGGGAGAAGAAAGTAGTTGAATATTTCAAGGGCAAGCTGAAGGAAAATAATGCTCCTAAATGGGTAAGTCTGTTAGCGCTCTTTGTTGGGGGAGAGGGTTAGGCTGCCCTCCAGTTTCTCTTAGTAGAGTAGTAATCCACATGGAATTTTAAAACATAGGCCTGCATGCATACTGCCTTCTGCCGTCAGTGCCGCAAGTGATATGTATTGGTCTCTTTTGCAACTTAAGGCTTAAATTCAAGCAATGAAATGTTTCTGTATTGATGCCTCTAGGGGGCAGTAACTGACTGACTTTCTAAGAACAAAATCGGTAGTTGTGAAAGCTTTGATTAGTACTCATTTAAAAAGAATTGGCCTGTACAAGTCCTAAAATAAGAGCTCAGCAGAGCCACTGGCTCTCTGCTGCTCAAAAAGTGTTCAGAAGGAAAGGCATTTTGTTTACATGATAGTCAAATAACATTATACAGACTTGGAAAAGCTCACAAGCACTCTTGTCTAGCAGTTAAGTTACGTTGACTGTTGACAGCATTGGCTTCCTAATGGAGCAGGTTTTTGTGCCTGTGCGTTGCCGTTTGGGTCAGGATATAAAGTCTGTATGTGTGCGTGAACTTGATATTACACAGACAGAGTGCCTTATTGATTTGTTCATTTTCCTTTAAGGTACCATCACTGAATGAGGTTCCCCTTCATTATTTGAAACCTAACAGTTTTGTGAAGTTTCGCTGCATGATTCAGGATATGTTCGACCCAGAGTTTTACATGGGAGTTTATGAAACGGTTAACCGAAACACAAAAGCACGTGTAGGTATCACTTTTTACAATGGAACTTTTTGTTTATAATTAATGGTATTAACTTTGTTCTTGTGTAATGCTTGTTTTGAATTAAATGTATTGCTATAATACTGTTATTCTTTGTTTGGGTCGTAGGTTCTTCATTTTGGAAAATACAGAGATATAGCAGAATGTGGGGTATGTATCCTTAAGATCAATAAAATATTTTTAATAAGAGTTTTTTCCTAAGCAGAGAATTTATTACTTTCTTTTGATCTCAGATTCGTCTTGTGTATAAATAAATTCTAAGAAGCCCTGTGAAATGTTTTTGCCTTTATTTTTTTTCTGTTTTATATTTTTGGCTTCTAAAAATCTCTTAGAAGGTAGAATATTATAAATGACAAAATTAATTTATTTCTTTTCCCGAGATCTATGTACTTGGTTAAAAAAAATTACCAGTTACAATAAATTCTGTTTTTTTTAAAGATTTTATTTATTATTTTTAGAGAGGGGGCAAGAGAGGGAGAGAAACATCCATGTGTGGTGGCCTCTCACACAGCCCCCCACCAAGGACCGGGTCTACAACCCAGGCCTGTGCCCTGACTGGGAACCAAACCGGTGACCCTTTGCTTCACAGGCCGGCGTGCAATCCACTGAGCCACCCCAGCCAGGGCGCAATAAATTTTTTAAAAATCAAAGTGGAAGATTAACTGAGGGCCTAACACCTGCTTAATTAAATCTGATCGAGATCTGCCTTTTTTTTCCAGGGAGGGAAAAAAGTTTTAATAAACTTAAGCTTTTTTGATAAAAGGAAGCAGGAGATGCTCTTATGTATCAGTATGGGAGAGGGAAGGAGACAGAATACTGGATATAATTATAGTTGTGAAAGGAATAGTTGTGTGATAGAAACTTACTAGAAAAGCAGTAGAGTAGAACACAGTAGATCTCCATGTTAAAAAACTGCTTTTCTGATCATGAAGAGCATGCATAATTTAATTTCATTCAGAACCTGGTTGACATACCTGGCACAAGTTAAAATTTATTTCTAGTTTAATAGTAAGAAAAGATGATCAGCATGTCGAAATAAATATATTAACCAAAAATGTCTCCCATATTGTGCTCTTGGTGTTTTCATGCAGTCCTGTTGAAACACAGGCGGTTGTTGTCAGTTTGGGGAAGAACTGGATTGAACAGGCAGAGGCTTAGGCGGGGCCTTCACGGAGTCAGCTCCTTTCTGGGTCTAATTCTCTGCTTTGCAGATCCATACTTTGAGTCTAATCAAGTTTTCTGAAGGTTTTTTTAATTCTGAAAGTTTGGACTCCTGCTTACTCAGACCTCAAGAAATTGGTTTGTAAAGCCTAATCTCAGCCCATTCATTCATTCGCAGGGTTCTTTCTCGTTGAATAAAGTGTTCTAGTTCAGTGGCCCCGTCTAGACAGAACAACCCTCATTTGGAAAGATGCCGAAAAGATTTTATTAAACAAAAATATGACTTCCTACAATTATTTAGAGTAATGGGCTCATGAGAGATGAAATTGTTTAAGCTTACACATGATGGCCTTCAGGTCTCCCAGTGTATTTGTACATTCAGAGTGTTTCCATAAGGTAAAATGTTTTCCCAGGTTTGACAAATCACCTTTTAAATGCTTACTGAACCCCTTGTTTAAGGAGCTCTAAGTCTCCCATTAGGCTAATATATGAAGACACTTTCCTAGTACACAGTGCAGTATTGCTGTAGCTCAGTAATCGCAGCATCTGGAAGTAGGAAAGTAAAATAGATATGGCCGTCCATCTGTGACACTGCTAAAGGCAGACACAGTTTGTACTGTGTGGCTAAAGAGTCGGGAGTAAAAGCACCACCCCAGGACAGGGTGGCTTTGGGCCTGGAAGGAAAGAAACAGAAAAGCCCAGCTTATAAACATTATCTCAGGCTCAGACTTGATGTCTCTTGGGTCCTTTTTTTTCCCTACAAAATGGAATGTACATCTTATTTATTTTTAATAGGGTTTTCTGTACTATAAAATTATATGTATTTTATTAAAGCAATTTTTAAATGTTACACCTTGGGTCCTTTTACCTCTTAGTACTTTTTAAGTATATATGAAATAGAGAATATGCTTTTCCTAAGGAATAATAGCTGAGTCTTGGATGTCATCTCAAAGCTACCTCATAATGAGTATTTCATTAAATTTCTTTTTTATAGGCTGATTCTCATACGTTTCCTATGAAAGAGGCAATGGGATTACTGTGTGCATTGTCTTTGAAAAAAATTAGGCATCCTGTTTATTAAAATGGTTTATTTTTGTAACATAGGTGCTATATATTATTGATTTCAGGGACGGTAGTAAATTGATTACTCCATGCGCAATGATTTTATGTCAGTATTCTTTTAAAAAATGATAGTTTGAGTAGCTGCTGGTTAATTCATTTAACTCGATGTGAAACGTTTACTATGGTTTTATATATAACATGAAAATGTGGTTGTTAATTTTTTTAAAATTTTTGTTTTTCTTTACAAGATTTTAAAAAATACTTTTTGTGTACATCACAGCCTCAACAAGAAGTTGATTTAAACTCTCCACGAACCACCACTTTGGAGAGACAGACTTTCTATTGTGTTCCAGTGCCTGGGGAGTCTGTGTGGGTAAAAGAAATATCCTTTATCTGAACTTTTTAATGTATTAAATGGGTCCTGATTGTTTTCTTAATTGAAAAGACCATCATTTAGATTTTAAGTTTGTAAAAACTTAGTCTTTTTATTCCAGTGAACTAGCTGGCGTGGGGGTGGGAGGAACCCTATAAAACAATAAATATTCATCACTGAGAAATGATAAAATCATGGTACATTCCTGTAGTGAAATACTGTTAAAAAGATTAAGGTAGGTTTAAAAATACTGAAAAAGAGTACCATGATAATTACGTAAAAAAAGTTTTAAATTACAAATAATTCTAATTTTCCTAAGGGAAAAACAGTATGTTGGTTCCCTTGAGAGAAGATTGTGGAAACATCTTTGTCTCCTTTTTATTTTCTTATTTAATTTTTTTAGTAATTTTTTTCTTATTTTTATTTTATTATTATGTTTTAGATTTTACTTATTTATTTTTAGAGACAGGGGAAGGGAGAAAGAAAGAGAGGGAGAGAATCATCAGTGTGTGAGAGAGATATCAATCAGTTGTCTCTTGCATGTCCCCAGCTGGAGACCGGGCCCACAACCCAGGCATGTGCCCTGACTGGGAATCAAACCAGCGACCTTTCGGTGTGCAGGCCGGCACTCAACCACTGACCCACACCAGCCAGGACTTAGTAATATTTTTTTAGGCATAGTTTATATACACTGAAATGCATAAATTTTAAGGGTACACCTCAGTGACTTACTCCCCAGAGTGAAGAACTTGTGCCATAATGTTTCCTTCTGCATTTTTCTAGGCACCACTCCCTTCTCTTGCAACCACTGTGCTGATTTTTCACCATAGCTTCGTTTTACTTCCTCTTGAGTGTCATACAAATGGAATAATATAGTATGGAGTCTTGTGTCTGACGTCTTTTGTTCAGCATCATCCCTTTTATTGCTGATGGTATTTATTTTTATTGATTGTCTCCACTTGATGAGCATTTGGGTTGTTTCCAGTTCAGGGCCTGGCATTTTCTTTGTAATAGTTTTGATTCAATTTTTAAAAGTTTTCTGTGCCACCTCTGATAAATTATATCTTTCTAAGAATTATTTAAAATCATTCAACTTCAGTTGAATTTATGTGAAGAACATAAAGCTTTTCATAATATTTTTTTTTAATGTCCAGAGGTTATCTAGCAGTGATCTCTTTTATTTCCAATAATATTAACTAATTTTTCTCTTTTCTTTTTTTTCCTTACCCTCGCCCGAGGATATGCTTATGGATTATAGAGAGAGGGGCAAGGGGAGGGGAGACAGAGAGAGAGGGAGGAAAGCAAATATCCATGTGAAAAGAAAAATTGATTGGTTGCCTGCCGTACAAGGCCCAGCTGGGGACTGAAGCAGCAACCCAGGCATATGCCTTGACCAGGAATCAAACCACAGCCTTTTGGTTTATGAGACAACGTTTCAACCAACTGAGTGACACTGGCCCGGGCTCTTTTGTTCTTGATCAGTGTTACTAGTGGTTTGTCAAAAGAGTCGACTTTTTATTTTAATTTTTTGTTCTCTGTGTCACTTATTTCTGCTCTTGCTAGTTTGGTTTTAATTCTTCAGTTTCTCAAAGTGACTTCTCAGGTCATTAAATTCAAATCTTACTCCTTTTCTAACATTAGCATTTAGGGCTATAAATTTCTCCCCAATCACTGCTTTAGTTGCAGTCCACAAGTTTTATTTGTTTTCACTATCACTCATTTCGATATATTTTCTGATTCCCCTTGTGATCTCTTTGATCCGTGGTCTCTATGGCATTGTACTTCCATCCACACATGTCCCCACCTCCCACCCCGGCGTTCTTTGTGCTGTTCTTGTCATATAGTCACTTGTACTTATTAGAGCGCCCACAGTGTATTTTTACTTTTGCTTTGAACAGTAAGTTGTTTTTCACATAAATTAAGAAATTAGAAAAATACATATATTTGTGAACTATTTACTAATTCCAGCTTTCTTTGTCTCTTATTTTTATCTGGAATAGTTTTACTCAATTTTTTTTAAGTACAGATCTGCTGGTGATGAATTGTCTTAGCTTTGGTTTAACTACAAAATCTCTTTAGTTTACCTTTACTTTTGAAGGATATTTTCATTGGATATAGAATTCTTGATTGGTAGGTATTTTCCCTCTCCAACACTTTAATGGTATTATTCCATTGTCTTCTGGAATATATTCCATTGTCTCTTGATGAAAGGTTAACCATCATATTACCGTTGTTCCTGTGTATGTAACGTCTTTGATTTTCCTCTTGCTGCTTCTCTGTGGTTTTCAGCAGTTTGACTATGATGTTCCTAGGTATGGGTTCTTTGTGTTTATCTTCCTTGGGTGTTTTTGACCTTTTGATCTGTTTGTTGACATTTTCTCAGATTTCAGCCCTTAATTCTTAAGCTATTTTTTTGTCACAGTCTCTTAGCATTGTCTTGTTTTCTGGGACTCCAGTCACATGATTGTTACACTATTTGTTATTTTCCTCCCAGTGACTAAGACTCTGTTCTTATTTTTTTTCATTTCAGATATTTTATTTTTCAGTTGTAGATTTTTCATTTGGTTCTCTTTCATTCCTCTGCTAAGATTCTTTATCTTTGACTCATATCTATCTTTTTTTTTATTGTAAATTTTATCACTTCTTTTTAATGTCTTTGCTAATTCCAATATCTGGATCATATCTGGGTTTGTTTTCTGTTGACAATTTTAGTCCTGGTCATAGGTCATCTTTTCTTGCTTATTCCTATATAATTAATAATATGTTATTGTATGCTGATATAATATTTTAAGTATTGTGTGCTGATACATATTATAAGTATTACAGCAAACATTGTAAGTTTGGTTTTGTCTTCATTTCAAGAATGTTGCATTTTGTTTTACTGGGCAGGTGAGTCAAATGGATCACTTTAACCATATCAGGGCTTAGTTTTGTGATTTGTTGAGGTGGGTTTGGAGAAGCCTCTGCTCTCTGGGACATAGTTCTTACTCAGGCAACGTGCTATTTCTGGTTCTCACCTAAGTGCCCGGGATGTTCAGCAAGGCCTAGTTCTCAGTGTCGTTCAACTTCCAGGACCTCATTTAGCTCCTCCCAACCAGCAGCTGTTATCTGCTAGGTCTCAAGGAATTTTGCCTTGTGTATCCACAGCTTTGTGTTCAGCCAAAGACCCACGTGGAACCTGCACAGGTTTCTGGGTCGTCTTCTGTCTTCTACAGGGAGTACCTCCCCTTCTAGTACCGGTCCACAAATTCCAGTTGCTTCGATAATCCTGATCTGTGCATGGTGTTTTCTCTACGCAGCTGGAGTTGGGCCTTCATTTCTCTCTTGTCGCAGTTTAGAAAATGCTCCCAAGAGAGAGTTGGGGATAAAGTGGAGTTCACCCGGAGAATTACTCCTGATTCAAGGATCATAACCTTGTGCTCCCTGTTGTCCAGGGATTGAAAGGAGCTGCTTCCCATGTCTTCTGTCCACTTCCACCGTTTTTTACAGCAGGGGTAGTGGCATAGGATAAGCTATTAAGTTCTCGTGACCAGAACTGAAGTCCAGCCTTCTTTTAAAAATACATGTTAATTTTAAGCAAATTGCCAATTTAGCAGTCTTTTATTAGTCATATAATTAACATAACTTAGGATATTCCTCAAGTACACGATGGTCTTTTCTTAACCTTTCGTTTAACGCCTACGTTAACGCCAACCAAGCTCGAGTCAGCCCTTCCACATCGTACACTCCCAGCCGTCACAAGAGGAGTTACGAAGACGATGAGGACATGGACCTGCAGCCTCACAAACAGAAAGACCAACATGCAGGTGCCAGGCAGACAGGTGGGTTTCTTTAGGCTTCTGCTCACTCTCTCATGAGACTTGTTTTCAGAGTGCATCGTTGCATAATACAGCTCTAGACTCCGGAGCTGGCAGCGGTCTGACAACCTTGCTTTCACGGTTATTGGAGTCAGACCGTGGGCAGAGTTCTTGCAGCACTGTGGGCAGACCGCACAGGGAGGCCGCCTGTGGTGAGAAGTGGCTGCTCTGCTCTCAGTTTTTAAGGGTCTCCCGTGGTTCACTGAAAAGGGTCTTTTCTCTTTAGGTTCGTTTTTTTTAAAAAAGTTTATTGACTGATCGTAGAACGAGAGGAAGTGGGGGTGAGAGAGAAACATCGATTTGTTGTTCCACTTACTGATGCTCTCCTTGGTTGTTTCTTGCATGTGCCCTGACCGGGGATCAAACCCACATTGTTGGCCTGTGGGAACAATGCTTTAACCAACTGAGCTAACTGGCTAGGGCTTTTTATGTTTATTTTTGTCTCAGCCCTTAAGTAATGTGGAAACATAGTGGTTTTATCCTAAAAAATGATTTATTTATATCTGAAAACATCCTTATTTGCTTTCTTTTGGAATGGTGGCACTTTAATTTTAGTGAGACTGAAAGTATCAGGAAAAACAGGAAATTGTTGTACATTACATTGCCTATTCCTAAACTTTAAAGGAGATAACTGTTAGAAAAGTCACAGTTCTCTTCTGTTTGCATAGGTTTGTAGCGGCTTCTTAAAACACAACTAATTCTGATTAAAACAAGGAGACCAAAAGTTGAAATTTTTTAAGAGCATGAGAGAATTTGAATATATATATCATCATTGATATCTCCAATTGCAGTTTTTATGCACAGTGACTTTTCTTTTTTAGGGCAGGTAGATAAGTTTGTCTTTGTTTCTCCTTTTATGTTCACTCACTCACTTCTCTTTAATACCTTTAATTAGATGTCAGGTTAAAGGGAGAGGATGTAAAACAAATTAGTTAATTGGTTTCTGTAAGACTGGGTTGAGAGGGCACATATAAACCAGTAGTAAGCAAAGAATTACTAATGAATTTCATTTAACCATAAGTCTGATTTATAAGTTCATATGACTGTGTTTCCTTAATGTTAAGACATACTTTAATGTCTTTAAAATTGGAATGTTTTGCATTAAATATATACAAATGTAGTGTTCTTTTTCTCTACCTACCCCAAATGTTTATTGAAATTAATGGTGTATCATAACAATAAATGATTGAGTCCAGGTCTTTGGTAACTCTTTCTTAAGGGGTTGGTGCTCCTTTCTTTTTTTGCCCCTGTTGTTTGAGTGTTATACTGCCAGACTTTTAATTTTTTATTTGAGTACATTATTTATGTAAAGTTTAACTTGTTGGTTTCTGGGCAATCTTTCAGGCTATAAATATTTTTCAACTTTTTCTGAGATAAGTATAGATTCATAAGCAGTTATAAGAAATAATACAAAGACCCTGTACACCCTTGAACCAGTTTCCCCCAGAGGTGACATCTTGTATAATTACAGTAGAATATCATAACCAAGAAATGGACATTGATACAATCCATTGATTTTGTTCAGAATTCACCTGTTGTACATGCACTTGTGTGTGTGTGTGTTTGTGTGTGTGTATTCTGTGCAGTTTCATCACATGTGTAGATTCATGTGCCTGCTACTACAGTCAAGATACAGGACAATTTATTATTTGGATTTCTCACATTGCCCTTTTATAAGCATGCCCACCTCCTGCCTCTGCTCTCCCTCCCCCAAGCCCTTAACCCCTGGTACCCACTTAATCTATTCTCCATCTCTCTAATTTTGCCATTTGAGGGATGTTACATAAATGGAATCTTACAGTATGTAAACTTTGTGGATCGACATTTTTCATTCAGCAAAATTCCCTTGAGATCCATCCAAGTTGTTTCATATGTCAGCAGTTTATCCCTTTCTGAGCTATAATATCCTGTGGTGTGGCAGGCTGTGTATCTATTCTAATTAGTTATCAGCCCTACACTGTGACAGTTTCGGAGTAGAGGCTCTCTTTCAGTCATCTTTGCATCCCCAACCACTAGTATGATTCCTGGTACACAGTAGATGCTAATAAATATTTGGTAAATGAAGTGTTTGTTATATGTTTTTATTCTGCTTACTAAGTAGAAAACTATGTTCTACCAGGACGGCTCTATCGTCAGTAGACCACGTATTCCTTGGATCAGAGATGTCAAAGAAACCATATTAAATATTAACTTTTAAAAGTACTTACACTGGAAATTTGATGAAGGGAATTTGTTGCCATTTTAATGTAGGAGAAACTGATTAAATTTTTCATATCATCATCATCATAATCTTTGTTCTCTTTACAGGTCAAGTAGGACTTTGCTAGTATGTGTGATTTTCTTTAAAAGTTTGTGAGCTCAGAAACATTTATATCAAACTTGAAAGGCTCCTTAGGAAGGTTCTTTATTTCCAAAAGGCCTTAGGAATGGCTAAGGACAATGCTCTCCTTTGAATTTAGGGAGTGTCGGTGGTCTTCAATGGTGTGGCGAGCCAAAACGTCTAGAAACGGAAGCTTCTACTGGACAACAACTGAACTCCCTGAACCTCTCTTCCCCTTTTGACCTGAATTTTCCACTGCCAGGGGAGAAGGGCCCTGCGTGCCTTGTGAAGGTAAACCTTTCACAGACCTGACATCGACATAGGCGTGTTATTTGTCTCAGAAGTTAAAATTGAAAACTCTTAGCACTTGTATTAGTTTCCTATTGCTGCTATAACAAATCACTACAAACTTAGTGGCTTAAAAGAACAAAAGCGTATCCGCTTCTAGGCTTTATGTCAGCGTCTGACATGGTTCTTCCTGGGGGTAAAACCAGTGTCAGTGGGGCTGCATTTCTTTCTGAGGGGGAGAATCTGCTTGTGTTTTGCCTTCTACTGTTTCTAGAAGTGCCCACCTTCCTTGGTTGGTGGACCCTTTCTCCATCTTCATAGTCAGCAAACAGTGTGTCTCTCTGACTGTTTTTTTCATAGTCACATTTCCTTCTGACCATAGGTAGAAAAGATTCTTCAGTTTTAAGGCCTGTGTGATCAGATTAGATCCACCAGATAATCCCTTATCTCAAGGTCCTTAATGTATGCTAGTCACTTTTGCTTATAAAGGGGCATATTCATGGATTTCAGGGATGGGATATAGACATGTTTGGGAGGTCCATTTTCTCTACTTCCTTCTTCTACTATTTCTAACTGTCTAATATCTATTTTCAATATGTACTTCCTTCTCTTTCCAAAATCTATTTCTCATTTGTATTTTAAAATACAAGAAAAAATATTAATAGTTCTCTTATTTTGCTTATCCTGGTTTTTTCATTCTGATAGGTGAATAAGAGATACAGTTTCAGAAGTGATCATTGAAAATTTTCATTTTGATTTGCTGTGGCTTTAACTTTAACGATACTTTGTTTATATAACATGAGGACCAGAATTCCAGTATCTGTCTTGCCATACTTGCTTTGGGTGTCACCTGTAGGAGGAGGCTTTGAAAGATATTAAAGACCATCATGACAGACAGCTTTGAAAGTTTGGGTTTTTTACAGTAAAAAACCTCATGGCCAGTCTAAAGTTTTGTGTTAATCCTCTTAATATTGTGTAGTTTGTGAATAAGTTCAAAGTTAATAATCCTGGGTTTCCCCCCCATCTCTTAGTATGGTTAACAGATTATGAGATAGTACATGTTTCTAGTTTGAGTTGACCAGCATTTGCGGAAAGCCTTGCCTTTGAAGTAGTGTGCTGCATTGAAAACGGGTCCTGCATTTCAGTTGTTAACTTATATGCTAACTAGCAGAATGACTTCATACAAGCACTTTACCTCTCTTGGTCTCAGTTTATGAAATAAAGGAGATCTAAAATTCTACAATATTATTATTATTACTTCAGTACTAATAAATTGTGCTTTTTGGTGTTATTTAATTATAACAACATGTTGTCATGTGGTTTCTTCTTAGGTGTATGAAGACTGGGATTGTTTCAAAGTAAATGATGTTCTTGAGTTATACGGCATACTTTCTGTAGACCCTGTGCTAAGTGTACTGAATAATGAGGAAAAGTGAGTCTTTTTGTTCTTTTTTTGATAACTATTAGCAGGATAGAGGTGAACGGATTTTCTGCATACTGAATAATAGATACCTGATGGCTTTTAAGGAAAAGACCCAGGATTTTGAGACGTCTTGTAACATTTCATGTCCCAAAACAAGAGTCTGTGTTTTGAAATAACCTAACGAGCAGACATACTGTATCCCACTGAGTGCAGTGACAGCGCACTGCGTAAAAATGTGACTCTCCTTTAAGAGCAGAGTGAATACGTTGTTACGTGATCCGCCCAGCCTGAAGTCTGGGAGGTGACCAATGAGGGGCCGTTTTCTCATTTTTAGGAGAGGTGCAGGTAGAGCGGTTCCGGACCTGAATGCTCACTTTTTTCCAGAGATGTGTATTATTTTCACATCCCTACAACTGACGCATCTATGAACTGAAGCTCTGTCCCTCTCCGCAGGGACGCCTGTTCCCTCCTGGATCCAATGGAGTGCACAGACACAGCCGAAGAGCAGAGAGTGCACAGTCCTCCTGCTTCCTTAGTGCCAAGAATTCATGTGGTTTTAGCCCAGAAGTTGCAGCACATCAATCCATTATTGCCAGCTTGCCTTAACAAAGAGGAGAGCAAAACCTGTAAGTGTAAGTGCTGAAGCCTTGTGACCCAGACAGTGTTGTCCCTGGTGTGTTTTGGGAGCTGCAGGTGACATGTGCTCATGGTGGAAACTGAGAGTCAGGTCTTCATTCGTCAGAATAATCACTGTTTCTTGGCCCAGTAATCCTTGAGGTTAATTCTCTTTGTTAAAACGAGGAGCAGGGCGGGCGGAGTGCACAGGCTGTCTTATTTTGAAGATTGGCACCTCTTGCTGACTAATCTTGACAAGTCGTTACTAGTTGTCTACTGACTTGCGGTGCTTTTTGTTTCACAGAGTTATCTTTTTAACCTAAGACCCTTGAGAGGAACTGGTGTGTTTATTCTGAATCTGGTCTCCCTTCCCTCTCCAGTTGTTTCAAGCTTCATGTCCGAATTGTCTCCGGTCAGAGCAGAACTGCTTGGGTTCCTAACCCATGCCCTTTTGGGAGACAGTTTGGCTGCTGAATACCTTATATTACATCTCATCTCTACCGTGTAAGTGCTCTATTCCTGGTGGGGATTAAGGGGGTTGGACTTAGTTGAAAGTGGGAAAGAGCAGGAAGGTTTCTAAGGTTCTCATTATCAAGAGGTGTATTTGTTCAGTGTAACTAGTGTTAGACCAAGTCAAAGACAAAATCCTTTTTTCACCTTTTCTAAGTTTCACATTTAGCATTTTCATTGTCTCTTTAAATGTAAGGGCCACAATAGATAAAGGGCCTGGAGTAAAACAAACTGTTTCATTCTTTTTGCATTTTGAAGTCTGTTTATACATCCAAGGCTCTTTGTCTGACAGTCAACAGGGCCTGTCGTCTGACTTCCACGTGGACGTCTAACTTCCATGTGGATGTGAACTCCTTGCTTTCACATCACTATAGTTATTTCTTTTCTGATTTAAAAAGTAATATGTGCGCCTTCAACAAGTTCCAAGAGCATAAAGAAGAAACTAGAAATCATCTGTAATTTTACCACTTAGAGATCACCTCAGTAAACACGTTTAGGTACAACACGTTCATGCCATTTTTTTTTTGTTTACACTCTGTATATTCCTACATAGATCTCAGCTGTGCTCTAAACACAGACCCACAGCTTGCTCTTACATTTAATATATATGTTAAACAGCCATCATAATTCTTGATGAACTTTTTTTTTTTTTAGTGTTGGCTCAAGTTTATTGGTTAATGTTAGTCACCAGTTAATAAGAAAAATAGTTTTTAAGTTTCATTTTTCCTCTGTGTGTGTGTTCTGTTTTTGAGTCAATCATGCCACCGTCAGGTTATGTGTTCAGAAACAACTATTAATTATTTCTTGATGAACTTTTTAATGGCTGTACAGTATTTCATTATAAACAGTTGTACTATTTCCCTAAATGTTAGATTTTCCTATTCTAAACTACATGGTGGTACTGGTCAGTGTAATCTATTTTTAGTGATACTATGAGGTTAATTTTCCCAAGGTTTTTTGTTTTTTTTTTAAAATGGAAATCACCTGAGTATCTTATTGGTTGAATTTTCTTTTTTCTCTAGGTATACAAGAAGAGACATCCTTCCACTAGGAAAATTTACAGTTAACTTGAGTGGTTGCCCAAGGAATAGTACCTTCACGGAACACTTATATCGAATTATTCAACATCTTGTTCCTGCAGTAAGATCAGTATAAATGTGTATTATAATTCTGAGCACACTTTTAAAATCCATCTAAATGTCTTTCATTCAACCCAAATATTTAACTTTGAGATTTAATGGATTTCTTGACAGGGAAACAGAGTCTGCCAAGCTCTGCAATTTAAAATGCAGTCGCCCCTGAACATTTCACCTTTGTTGCCTTAGCAGAAATTTATGTAAATGTAACAGTGAACCCAATTACAGTTATGCTCTCAAAATTGTACTCTCGCTTGGTGCCAATTTGCTTGTGTGATTTGGTATCCTCTATGTGTGTGTCAGAACACTTGCTTCTTTAGTATCTTGTATAGTTTTTACAACAGATTAAATAACCTGTTTATATGTAGGTGGACCCTGTTCATAGTGATCTCTTATTTTGACGGGCTCTGCTTCCTTTAGCAGTGGTTTGCTTATATCTATGTCATGGCCCTCCCCCTCCTATTTCAATGAAGCCAAAGTACAAAAATCTTTTAAATTTTGCAAATGTACCCTGTCTCTTTCTCAGCACTTATCTCACCCATCCCAGTCTCCACCCCCACCTCAATACTGCTGTTTAGGCCAGACAGCTGGCACGGCAGGGTGGGGTGCACAGCAGGGTGCTGCAGGCATTGGGAGCCGTGGGCTCCGGGAGGTGGGGCCAGGGGGAGCGGGGTCTTTACCAAGTACTGTGCTGTTCAGGCTGGCCGAGGGAGCAGCCTGCAGCCGGGGTGGAGTGCGTTGTGAGACCGACGGCACCTGGCCATGGCTCAGTGTGCTCTCTGCCTTGATTTTTCTTGGAAGAATCTTCAGTAGTCTGTGGTCAATGAATATGATTGAAATTTGGGAGAATGGAGGAAAATTAGGAAACTTTTCTCTCCCCACCTTGAGGAGTAGATAAACATTCTCTGTTTTGTTACCCTGTGGTAGGTTAAAGAAGTTAAGCTTCTGGATATTTGTTTCTGGTTCACTGGTAAAATAAAAATTAATCTTAAAGAATACCAAACAAGACAGTTGAAAATAAAGCAGCTCACAGTCATTGAAATTCTGATTCAGGATACAAATACAATTTTTGCTTAAAAGAGCTCAAGAAACTTTGAGGCGACTCTCTTAGGAATTGATAAGATCTTTCCATAGAAAACAGTGTTTAATCCCAAATAAATGTTTTCTGAAAACAGGAAACTTAGCTCCTTGCTCATTAAAAAATTTCTCTTTGCAGTCTTTTCGTCTACAGATGACTATAGAGAACATGAACCATTTGAAATTCATTCCCCACAAAGACTATACAGCCAATCGCTTGGTCAGTGGGCTTCTCCAGCTACCCAACAACACTTCTCTTGTGATTGATGAAACTCTCCTGGAGCAAGGCCAGCTTGACACTCCAGGTTCGTACATGGATGTTTCCCTTCTGTTTCTAACCTGTTAAAGCCAGATCTGGTATTGGCTTCTTCAAAGAATAGCTGTAAACAAAGACATTTACATTTCAGAAATATTTAACTTAAAGGTTTACTATATGAATTTAATTAAAGCATGTACATGTTATAAATTGTGTACATCAACTGTTTTTGTCATAGTTTTATCAAAATAGAATGACAGAACAAGTTGTGAAACAAGCTTTCTTTGAAGTCTGTAAAAGGAAGAGGTTTTTGCCTTTAGTCTTAAATTACCTCAAAAAAAAGTGTAGAAAAGATTTCATAAAACATGTTTTACCACTCAATGTAAAAATAAAATAATTTTTTCAAAGAATTTGTCGGGGGGTGGGGAGGTTAATAGTGGATCAAGTGGTTTGAACTGATCCCAGTTTATGGAACATTATAAAACTTTAAGAAAGCAGATAGCTTTATCTGTGCTCAAGTGAGAATTAAGACACTATGCTGGTGATAAGTTCAAGAGGAAAATTAAAAACAGTGTAGCCTGGGTACATATATGGCAAAAATGAGTAGCATATCAGTGAAATTCATCTCTGTAAATATAATTTTAGTTTTACCATATTATTTTAGTCCTCTTGAACACACCACATAGAAACTAATCGTACTTAATTCAGAACCTATTTTTTGTGCCTATTTGCATACTAGATGCTAGTTTAGATGTTGGGGGGGGGCATCTTTGCCCCCAAAATACATTTGCCTAGCTTGACAAATACGGTGTGGGAAGCCCATTACCAAATGAACACTTAGCTTAGTGAATTGAACAATGTCTCATTTACTGTTTTAAAAAAGTAGAAACCTCACATCTTATAATCAGTGTCAGCAAAACTGTATTTTTGCTGTGTATGATGCACTCCTCTATGTGATGTGCCCACAGCTCTGTGCGCATTATACATGGGATTATTATGCCCATGGTATGTAATCATTACACCCATGTCTAATGCACACCCTTATTTTTCCCTCAGAAATTTGGGTAAAACAGTGCACATTATACACAGCAAAATATGGTAATTTGTTTAGGTGATTAAAATGAAATAACTAAAAATTTATTTTCTTGCCTTTGCAGGTGTTCATAATGTGACGGCCCTGAGCAACCTTATAACTTGGCAGAAGGTGGATTATGATTTCAGTTACCACCAGATGGAATTCCCCTGCAATATTAATGTTTTGATTACTTCAGAGGGAAGATCACTGCTACCGGTACGATGAGTCATTTTTAAATGGAGAGAGGTTATATGGGAAAGATAGCTATTTTTGTCTTCTCTCTTGGCTACTGCTTATTAGTAAGTTAAACTTGTTTCAAAATTTTAGCTGCTGATTATTAATAAGGGAACTGATTAACTCCCCCATCTAAGCATAGAAAGTAGAAGCTGCCCGTAACTTGCCTGATTAACATCCAGACCTTTGTTCTTGCTGCCTCCATCACATTGTTTTCTTCCAATCTGTGAGAAATATTTTAGAGTTCCTTTTAAAGTGTTCCTAATCCATCTGATAATTATTTTTATGCTTTATGTTGTAAAATGCTATGGTAAAATCACCAGGGGGACTGACGGAGCTTATTGAGGAGAAATACCCTCAGTTGTTTAGAAGGCATTGAGTGTCTCTGTAAAGTGGTGCTCACTTGTAATTCATGAGAAAACTACCTGTGAATGAGGATGAAAGGGCCCATTTGGTTAAGTTTTCTGTGGGAAAGTGTGATTAAGATATAGAATACATATTTCATGATTAAGGAAATACCTAAAATGTTTTAATTAGCTGCTTTTTAGAGACTGGCTACCTTTTTATATGTTTGCTGATACTGTTGAGGAAAGGTAAGTAACCAGGAAAGGCTAATCTTTGTAATTACTGCTGAGGGTAGGTATAGTGTATGCAGTTTAATGTTAAAAAGTGACCTCCCCCCTCAGTGAGAAATAGTACTTTCAGTTCTCTTAAGGGCTGGTAGAGATGATACATCCATCCTCCTGACATTTTGATTAATTGAGGAATTGGAAAATACTGTGTACTGTTTCTCTTTTCAGGCAGACTGCCAGGTCCACTTACAGCCACAGCTGATCCCACCAAACATGGAGGAGTACATGAACAGCCTTCTCTCAGCGGTGCTGCCTTCTGTGCTAAACAAATTCCGCATTTACCTGACCCTTTTGAGATTCCTGGACTATAGCATATCTGATGAAATAACCAAGGTATGTTTGGGGTAAAATAAAGAATTTCCTTGTGTTGAGTTGAAGTAGTTAATCAATTTACATTTATTGTAATTACTGATAAGGTAATTTTGCCATTGTTTTCTATATGTCTTATGACTTTTTTATTCCTCTATTCCTGTTATAGTCTTTTGTTTGAAGTAGATTTTTCTATATAATTTTAATTTCCATGTCTTTTTTAATTTTTTTCTAGTAGTTGCCCTGGGGGCTGCAATTAACCATCTTAGCTATAGCCATCTATTTGGGATTAATGTCAGTTTAATCACAATAGTATACAAAAACTTTGCTCCTTTACAATTTCATTCCTTCTCCCTTCCTTTGTGCTTTATTGTCATACAGATTACGTGTCCATCAACATTTGTAATTGTTGCTTTATACAGTTGTCAAGACATCTGTACTGCTTTTTATATTTACTGATGTACTTCCCTTTACTAGTGATATTTATGTGAATTCAGTTACTTTGCAGTGTTCTTTTTTTTCAGCTTGAAGAACTCTCTTTAGTATATCTTGTAGGGCAGATCAGCTTGTGACAAATTGACTCGTAAGGTTTTGCTTATTTGGACAGGTCTTAATTTCTCCTCCATTGTTGAAGACTAGTTTTTGCTGGACCTAGAATTCTTATTTAAAAGGCTATATATATCTTCATCAAGACTGTCTTCCTAGCTCTGACTGGTGTAGCTCAGTGGGCTGGGGATCATTCTGCAGACTGAAAGGTTGCTAGTTTGATTCCATCAGGGTACATACCTGGCTTGAAGGCCAGGTCCCCTGTTCAGTGGCATGTGAGAGGCAACCAATTGTCGTTTCTCTCCCTCTCTAAAAATAAATAAAATCTTTTTTTTTTTTAAGTCCTCCAACTGTCCTCTGGCCTCTATTGTTTCTGATGAGAGGATTCTTTGTACACAAGTTGTTTTTCTCTTCTTTCAATATTCTATCTTTGGCTTTTGACAATTTAACTCTGATGTGCCTAGGTGTGGATTTCTCTCAAGTTTTCTGACTTGGAGTTGAGTTTTTTTGGGTGAGCAGATAAATGCACATTTTAGGGGAGTTGTAAAGAAATTTGGTAAATTTTGACCATTGTCTCTTTAAAATTCTTTCCACCCCTTTTCCTTTCCTTTCCTCTGCCACTCCCCTGTATGTATGTTGGCACACTTGATGGTGTCCCACAAGTCTTTGAGGCTCTGTACATATTTCCTCATTCTTTTTGCCTTCTATTCCACAGACTGGATAACCAGCTGCCCTGACTGAAAGTTTGCTGACTCTTTCCTCTGCCTGCTCAAATCTGTTGTGAACCTGTCTAGTGAATTTTTAATTTCAGCTGTATTTTTCAACTCAGAATATCTGTTTGCTTTTAAAATAATTCCCATCGATGTTTTCTATTTGGTAAAGCATGATTCTCATGTTTTCTTTTAGGTACTTAGATGTGGCTTCCCATAGTTCTTTGAATATATTTAAAATGGCTGATTTAAAGTCTGTCTATAGTAAGTCCAATATTAGCATTTCTTCAAGGACAGCATTTCTTCTATTGACTTCTCTTTGTCCAATGAATGGGTTGCACATTCTTGTCTCTGTATGTCTCTTAATTTTTGTGTTGAAAAACAGACGTTTTAAATAACGTGTCAACTTTGCTGAGATTGTCCTGCCACCCTAGGGTTTGTTGTATGATGACTTTTCCAAATTAATTCTATAGTTGGTGTTCTTTGTTGAATGTGGGCACTGAAGTCCCTCCTCTTTTAGCTTAGTGGTCAATGATTAGATAGAAATTTAATTTCCTTAGATGCCTGGAAGCAGGATGTTTTCCGATCTAAGCCAAGGGGCCCTGTATCCATGTTGGGGCAAGCCTTTAACACTCTGGCCATGCAGTTTACAACTCTGCCCTAGCCTTCCTTCACTTTCTGCTTGCACCGTCTCAAGGTTATTCAGAGGTGAGCACTAAGGTCTGCTCAGATCTGAGCATGCACGTGACCTTCTGAATTCCTAGCAATTTATCTCTCTCTCTGTCACGTACATGTGGACATCTCATACCCTATTTATCCTTTTAAGGCAGCCGAGATAGTAAGTGCTTCTGATTGTGGGGGGTAGAGGCTGTTCACACTGGGCAAGCTCCAAGGCAGGTTAAAGACTACCTTGCAAATGGGTTCTTCCAGGGAACCACCAGACAGTTAAATAATGATACTTCTCATCTCCACTACCCTCCTTGGTGATGGCTCTCCATTTTCAGGGCTGCTTGGGACGTGTGGGTTGGGGAATAGGTCAAGTTAAAATTCCTCAAAGCTCAATGTTCTTATTGCCTTTCTTGAATAAATGCTCCTCAGATTGCTGCAAGCATCTGTTTAATTTCCACAGTTTCAAAGAAGCTGATTTTGATCATTTTTACTAGTATTCTTATCCCCGTTAATGGTGAAGAGAATTTTCAGAGGTTTTTACTCCACCATTTTTACTTATATCATTCTTCCCTGTGTTTAAAGGCATCATGTTTGCTATGCACACTGCTGACAATCTGTTTGCCTGGTCTTCTCAGATGAATCTGAGTTTTATTTTGCTTGGAATTCCTTCATCAGTAGCATAATTTATATGTATCAAGTTTGGTAATTCTTTCATCTATGTCATCTCATCTAAGAAGCAGGGCTGACTTCCTCAGCTTTACACCAGTTAAGGGACCATGTTACTTCCCTTTTCCCTGTTAAATGCAAATGTCATTTCCTCCTAAGGAATGGTTTTAAAGTTCATTTACTCTTTTAATAAAGGCAGTTGAAGATGACTTTGTGGAAATGCGCAAGAACGATCCTCAGAGCATCACTGCTGATGATCTCCACCAGCTGCTCATTGTAGCTCGGTGAGTGGCACCTGTCTGTACATAGTCGGTTAAAGTAAGGTGTGAATAGAGCCCCTGATTTACTCAGAAATAACTGAGGTAGGCTTCTAAGAATAGAAAGGAACTTTTTCCTTTTAAAAACACCTTGTGAAGTGGCTCGTTGAAGTGGCCTTGTGTTTGGCCAGTGATTGCTTTTGGGGGACCACCAGGCATGCTGCTTGTTCTTTACGCTTCTAAAAGTGAGTCACCCTCCACATTTGCCTTAAAAGATTCCTTTGTAGAAGTCTGACTTTGCTTTTGACTTCTTTGTGCCCCTACTAGAGATCTTGTCTCCTCAACCAGTATTCCTATAGGTCTTAAAAATGAAAAACAAGGTACCATTATTATCCTAGGTCTAGATTTAAGTTGTCTCTCTCTTCAATGCAGGTTTCTGTCTCTCAGTGCTGGTCAGACAACACTGTCAAGAGAACGATGGCTAAGAGCAAAGCAGCTAGAGTCTTTGAGAAGAACCAGGCTTCAACAACAGAAATATGTGAATGGAAATGAACTTTAAGCATCTGATACCTATGAAAGAGTAATGGGCAAATTGTAGCCACATTATTGTACAATTCAAATATCATTTATACCACATTGTTTTTGTAGATAATTTGTATCAAAAACCAATGACTTTTCCTGAAATCAAGCCTGGTGACATCTGAAGTTTATATCATATTCAGTAAGGGCTTTTACCTTGCTGATTTTATGGAGCTTTTGGAGTTTGTTTTATAATTATATAAATTAGTAACAATGTACAAAAAATGTATTTGATATTAAAAGTTTAATATTGATAAGATAATGTTGTTGATTATACCATTTCCTTAGCTTCAGCTAAGTCATAGGCCAGACTCTGTTAAAATGCTAGCATCAACTTCATTTGAAGAAAATCGTAGCAATTCCAAAGTCAGGAATTGTTCACTTAAGATTTTTACGTCTTTCTAGTTAACAGTGGATCTGAATGTGTTTAGTGGCCAAGTGTTTGGGAAATGATACTGCAGAATTTCACATGATTTCCCAAACATCTGATCACAGAACCTTTTTTCTATTAACAGTTGTTAACCTGCAAAACTAGTCTTTACTGTGGCAGTGGTTCCCATACTTTTGGAGTTCACAGACCAGTAATGTTTCTCCAAATTTTGAGATGGACAAGGTTGCCAATTTATTTTGCCAAGTTACCTGAGAGAAATCACTGTACTATCATCATTACTTTTTTCATAAGAGGAATATCTCAGAATGAGATACTCCTTTAAATGGAATAAATGTAGCTTTTTGAAAAAATACTCCATTGTCCTTACTTTTCTCATTTCACCCCAGTGCATTTGGGAACCACTGTATTATGGGACTCATTTAAGCAAATTCTGCCCTATGAAGTTGTTTTGCCAAAATATAAAGAGAGCAAAACAGTTAACTTTTTAAAAACGCCTTCTTTAGAAAAAAGGTTTTAAATTCTTTTCCTAATGTCATTTAGTTGCTTTCATGATTGTATTAGATTTTGAACTTTATTGGATCAACTAACATTATCTGCTAGTCCAGAATGCCCTGATAAAACTGTAACTAGGGTTTTCCTCCAGACCAACTACAGTTTTAGTATGTTTTTAAATGAACAAAAAATATCATTCTTGGCTAATTAAAAGCAAATTAACCGAATATAGTGTAATTATGGCATCTAGAATGTTTGGAAAGGTTAGAACATTACTTAAGCAATCAGTGGTTGTACATAAAGATTAATTTCAGTCAGTCAGTAACTTACTTACCTAGTTGGAACATTAAGAGTTAAACAATTACTTCAATTCCACCCCCTGCCTCCCCTCAGGCCTAAACTGATATTGCTAACCAAGGAAACAGGGTCACCTTTGAAAATCAAGGAATTTATTATGCCTAACAAACTGAAGTGAAAATTACTGGTTTCACTTTTCCTAACTCAAATCTATTTTTATAAACTAATGTATATAATCGTTTATATTTAGTATTCTGGACTGGTTTTCATTTTTATAACTAGTAGACATCTCCTCAAACTCTTAGAAATGAAACGTCAATGGATTTGTGGGAATAAACTTCAACAGAGTAGATTAGTTACCGTGTGTTTATTGTACCAATGTAAATTGTAATTTACCAGAGAAGTGCTTGGTCTTGCAGAAAAGTTCCCTTGAAAGGCAAAAACCTTCTTTCAAAGAAATAAAACTCATCCCATGAGATCTGTGTGAAAGAGATCCTGCTGCCTCTTGGTAGAAAACCATAAGCAGAGATGATCAGCATGGTGTCCTCGGACTCAAGTCCCATTTGAGGGGGTAGGATGAGAGGGAACTCCGGGCTTCAGAAATCCTTTTCTCCCTTGCTGCACATGTGGACATTAAACTTGTTGATCTAACATGTTACTCTATTTCAGTCATCAGGAAACTGAACAGACATTACCCTAACTGGAATTAAACACTGCCTTCTTTAGTTTTAAAAAATCTCTTTAGAACTAATTCCTGTGGAACTTAAGACACATTTTATCACGACTTGGCTTATATTTCCTCGTGGTGTGAGACAGTTAATTTTCAAGAAAAGTTGGTAAAGAACAAGATAAAACATTCATTTTCAGTGTTTGGATTTTAAAATTTCATGGTTTGTGACCCATTTCATCATTTTTAAAGTCATGAAAACACTTAAAAAGACTAAAATATTTGGAAAGGCTGAGAGCAAGTGTTTAGTTACAGAAAACTTATGAAGTCTTTGATTCAAAAATCAAACCCTTAAAATGTTATTTATTCAAGGAATTCTCATACATTGTCACTTTAAATTACAATGGTACTTTATTTTTAAATAGTCATAAGATTTGACACTACACACTCACACACACACACACACACACACACACACACACACACAGAGATACCACTAATAAATAACAAAAGTGGAAATACTTATCAAAGTTACAACAGACATAATGTTTAGCTGAGAATCACTTCAACAGAGTAAGGCTCTAAAGATACCAGACAAACCAATGCTTGTTTGGAATAAAGTGTGCAACTTTCTTAATGTATGGGCTTATAGAAGAGGCCCTGTTTCCATGTGGTCAGCTTTATGGTCATAAAACCAATTTTAGCACAACAGTGGTCAGACTAAGTTTCAATAATTGTAACAGTCCACACAAGATGTTAAGGAATGACCCCTACAGAAAATTAAAACTTGAAGACTTCTTTTAAGAATTACCAATATCCAGTAAATGTACATTCTTACCTGACAACAGCAAAATTAATAGGTGCTGGTATTCACATCTGATGTCTCAGGTTTTGACTGACACGTCTTAATGCTCCTAGACTTTGGGGTGTACAAGGTGGCAGAAAATTTAAAATGTTTAGATGGGGAAAATTATGATTAAATGGATAGACATTTCTTGACTATATGCCAATAACCTTCAATTTTCATAGGGAATGGTTAAGCCATCAAAATGAAACCAAGTTTTCTTTAAATTTTCAAATGCTTCTCCTTATTAGTAACACTTTTAACGTCACTAAAAACTAAATGTATTTACCTTGTAGAGGTTAATACACAGAAATGAACTAAGAAAAACAATTTATTAAAAATGCTAATCCCCTAAATGTACCCTTGGCCATCCTTTACATGTCTGCTTCACACACTGAACCCTCCCACCCTACCCATTCACCCACTCCAAAAAAGGTTCAGGTTACTATGTCCCAAAGTAACCTATTTCTGAATTACCTTCAAAGAGACAAACTGCTCTTTATAAGGTACTCAGGCCTACACATTGTAGGATGGTGCACTTCTGTTGTCCTGGCTCTCAGATTTGGAAATCTTTGAAAACCTTTACCAATAAAGAGAATTTATGATCCCTAGATTCAAAGTCAGTAAAGGTTAAGAGCCTAATATGTGAAACCTTTTTTTTCAAGGGGCATGGAGGGATTAAGTAAAAGCCACAGGATTATTGGTGGCTAAAAACTAAATTTGAATTATTCGTGTCTGGCATTGTGTAAACATATTTTTAAGTTCATTCTGCTGGACTTCATGAACCATTTCGGGTTCTGCAGGGCTCCTCTGAACCCTTGCCACTGCAAAGTTTATCCCCTGTGTCAACCCGGCTTGGGTGATATTAGCAACCTGGACCATGGAACTCCGAATCTTTGCAAAGGGAGACACTGCTCTGCTGCTGCTGCTCTCTGAAGGAGAAGGGGTTACGTGAAGCCCTGTCTCAAGTTCAAGCATGCTGGATCCAGAGCCGGGGGTCTTTTGAGATACTGAATGCGCTGGTTCAACAGACAAAAACTGTGGGCCTGTTGCAGAAAAGGACACATCTAATTGAGATGGTCGAGAAGGTATCTGTTCCGTTGATTCAGATCGGGTTTCTTCATTAGAAACTTGATTGGTTGGTTGATTTCCTTCCTCACTAGCGTGCTGAGAAACGGATCTGGTTGCTGATAGCTGGGTCATTTTGTTTTGTGCATCTTGTACAAATCTGTGGCAGTAAATATCCACAGGCTTGGCAAAGCCAGTCAATGTGTGTATATAATCAGCAGAAGGACTTTTTTTCAAAGGAGACTCATAGCCTTTTCCAAGCTCACTTCCATGAGCAGCAACAGTAATCTCTGACGGAGCATGAATGCTGACATCAGTGCTGCTAATAGATTGGGATCGACTGCCTAATCGAGGTGCTGAAGCAATAATGCCACAACTAGGAAGAACATAGTCTATTGGCCCTATGTTCTCTAAAGAATTAGCTAGCTGCCTGTCTTCATCTGACTTGGAATTTGTAAGGAATTCGTCAGAGTGGTAGGAGTCATTATCTGAAGACATTTCCCCTTCAGACTCTGCCTGGCCTTTATTATCCATCACACTTGTGTTTTCCATGGTTTCAAGACTACTATCTGATTTCCAAAGATTTACTTTTAAGTTTGGTTTTAGAAAATTAACTTTCATTTCAGGTTTTGCAAAATTTCCTAGCCTTCGTAGATTGCCAATATTTACATTGGATTTGGTCTGTTTCACTTTTTGATTTAGAGATGAAAATTTGCTCATTAAAAAATTTTTTCCCTGGGCCAGAGAGCCTTGGTTTTGAGATCTGATGCCAATGATGTCTTCATGAGGTTTACTGCTCTTCCTACAAATGAGGAGAGAAAAAAGTTAATTCCCCATGGAATTCAACATACTATTTCTAATTATTAAAGCAAGTGAAAACTTATTTAAATTGGCCCCAATTTCTTGGAAACAGTGTATTCCTAATTCATAAACTCAGATAACCCCTTGGAGTTGATGCTAGGACAGAATTGTGCAACAGAAATACGTGAACTGTAGATGGAACTCAAAATTTTCTAGCAGCCACATTAAAAACATGAAGTGAATTTTAATAGTATTTTAATTAACCCAATATGTACAAAATATTGTCATTCCAGCATATAATCAATATTAAAAGATAATGAGGTGTATCTTTTCGTACTATGTCTTTGAAACAGTCAATGGGTAGTATTTTACAAGAAGGCAGCAGAAGCCTCTGTAAATGACATTGGTGAGTTCCCAGGCACTGAGTGGGAACAGGTGGCCTGCCTGGGTGACTTTAACCCCAAGTCAAGAAAGCAGGCCAGGGACATCTCCTACATGCGCTCTGTCCTATCTTCCTCAAGCGGGCCATCAGGTGCAAGAAAAAGCCACGCTGTGGAAACACTACTACATCTGCTGGATCTTAATCCCATTCAGTGAAGCTCTTTCTAGTAACTGGGTTATGTCAAGTTCCTTTGGTCTTCAGAGTTGATCACTGTTTGCTATTGCATATTTTCTTCAACTGTATTCTCCTAGGCATTCAGAGATGAGGATGGAAGAAGGGAGGGAAGCCTCCCAGCAGTTTCCTCAGCCCACGTTTTTGTACGTTTTGAGAATAAATTTTTCTTAAAAAAATAAAAACAAAAAAACCCCACACCCAAAATTCAAACTAATCACATTTCAAAGGCTCCACATCCGCAATCTAAACAACTGGCCTAGGCAACACCAACTATAAATGGGAATCTAGAGCACTGTAACTAAAGCTGTCTACACATATTCCAAAATGACTGAATTCAAGTAGAGGTGGGAGGAGGAAGAATTTCATTTGCTGATGTTTCCGGTGGATTATCTGAATTTATTTTAAAAGATTTGGGATGCTTAATATAACTAAGGGGTTTCTTCTTTGGTATCCCTCATAACAACTATAAATAAAAAGAATTGTGTTATTAGCCACATGTGTCTTGAATGTTTGACTCTTGGTCATGCAGGATCACTGGTCATGAGACTACATGAAAATTATAACA